CAATCGCGAGTTTAGCGATATCTTTTAGGGACCTGCCGACGGCTCCATGGTCGCCGAGTTGGTCACCCAATCCATTGGAGCATTGGGCGGACTGGAAAGCTTTGCCGTCAACCCTGCGGCCGCCCTTGCTGCCACTGCCGCTGCGGCTGCTGCGGCCACTGTGTCGGTGCCAGCAGCTGTCAGCACGCCACCTCTCAGCAAAAAGGGGGGGTTCATCGACATATCGACAGGCATCAGCATCCACCGCCAACGGCTACGGCTTCTGACCAGCGGCAATGGACACCGCTGGCGTCACTTGCGATACGGATACGAATCGAATTCTCACCATTGATGTCCAACTTCTCAGCCGTAGGAAGTGGACTACAGAGGATTAGCGAGCTATTAGAACGGCGAGCGATAGTTCGGTAAAAGTGAAATTTCTTTTTCTGGAAGTCGGGCGTCGAGAGCCTTGACAGGGGATTTCAAGTCGGGGGCAATGAGTGAGAGTGGGCCGGATGGAGAGGGTTACGTGAGGCACGGCAAGGGCAGGAACGCATGAGGGAAACCATTGCGAGTACAGCGCGGGAGGAGTTCGTTGTCCTGATCAGAACCCACAAGCGGCGTTGGAGGAGCGGCGCCGCACCCTTGGGGATTCTGGAAAGGTCGAAGGAGGTCTCGGCGGGGACTGTGAACGGACCTTTGATCTGGATGTTGGTGGCACTTGAGGCATCCGGCGACGTCCGAAGAGGAGTCAATCACGCACGGCGTCGGGGCAACTGGGGCTGCCAAGGCCACCACGTACGGAGAAAAGAGTACAAGGGCCAATGAAAAGACCGGAGCCTGACGTGCAGGAAAAGCAGCATTGGGCCGTTAGGACGGGTTGTAGAGGGTTAGGGATGGCAACCCTGGAGTTTGAAAGATGCAGCTGGTTCGTTTTATTGTAAACTGATGGCAGGGTAAATGTCGAAGGACATTCTTCCGATTCTTTAAATACGTGAGCGTGGGCGCGGCAAATTGATCGCTGCTGGGAAGTGTGCGTGGAGGATCAAATCAAGTCAAATGGTAATAAGTTTCCCAACTCCGAGTTCTAGAGAAGGACCAACTATCTGCTTGTCGAAAGGATAAGGTCGTCCATCCGATCTCCGCAGAAGGCAACTAATATCGTGGATCAGGGTAAGTTGCAGGGTAGTCCGCAGCGGCGGTCGCCAAACGCAAGGGACAGCCTGCTCGAAAGCGGGTAGAACGACGTTGAGACAATGGCCAGGGCATTGAACGCCCAAGTCACTTGTGAGTACGACGCGTTGAACGTCAGCAGCATTGCGGAGAGCGCGGCAAAGACGCCGTCAAAGTTGACGATGAAGTAGGCCCACCAGGTGCTGTTAGGGGAAGTGGGGGAAGGGTGGTGGGGTTGGGGTACGAGGGAGAGAAGAGCGTGTGAATTAGAGTGGGAAAAGGTGGACAGAAGAGCGCAAAGGCAAGATTGAAAAAAGCGTCACGCGAGCGCATGGGGGAGGCTTCAGCTGTGTGAACGGAATTGTGGGCATCATTTGGAGGGTAGGGGTGAGAAGGAGCAGGAAGGAAGCCGCACCTTGCCACCAGCAGCCACAGGCTCCAACCTCGGCGGACGATGGGGATTCGTCGTGAAGGAAAATCAGAAAAGGAGAAAAAAACGAGGAAAAAAAAAAAAAAAAAAAAAAAAAAAAAGAAGATGAGGAACGAGAGGTAAAGTCGCTGAACGCGAAACCACGAAAAGGGGGCAAGAACCAGGACACGCGTTTTGTTTCGGTCACGTCGTCCAGCACCGCCCCATCCGCGCTGTCTGCCGGTTCGCGAGCACAGCAGCGGCGGGAGGAGTCGCAGCGTTTCGCACACGTGGCATACCAGCTAACTTTGGCCAGGCCTCCCACATCTGCAAAGGCAGCTGAATTCTGGTGCTTTGGGGCTAACTGCACCCAACTTAGCTGCATCCAAAAAGAGAAGATCTATTTTCAGCTTTTTGGGATGGCAGCCTTGCCCAAAATGAAGAAAAAGAAAAAGAAAAAAGTCCTGCAAAACCCAAGAACCTCTCAAGTTTAGTAAGTGGTTTTCAGAGGGCAAGGAAGCCTTGGAGATCGCAGGGGTTAGAGTTCCACATACAGACCTTGCCTGGCCTCCCAGTTTCAAAGTTTGCCTCATCTATCCAAATAACCTTGGCCCAACCTTTGAGAGTCCAGTCCTTATGCTTGCAACCATTTGAAGACAAGAAAGACCTCTTCTCTGAGACGCAGCTATGAATTACAAGCTGGTGCAGTGCTTCCAAATGGTTCCTGTTGTAACAAGGGAAGATTGACGTGAGTTCACGATGTCTCCAACAAATTGTCGCTTCAAATTGTCACTATTGTTACAGGACATCTCAGAGCCTTGCGTTGCTCAAGCAAAATATTGTAGATTATGGGCTGTAGACTGAGAGCATTTTTGGGCATTCACTGCATGAAAGATCCACCAGGCTCCCTGACTTGTCAAAACAGGGTATGGTAATTTGGGCCATTGATTTCTGGATGGTAACAAAGTGGCTGATCTTGCCAATGCTCTATTCCTTTGCATGTAAGTGGACAACTGTCTTGCATGTGGCAGCATTGTGTTTTGTGTGATTCTGCTTCTCAGTGCTGAATTTGGAGGTGATCTGAGAGATGGAGGCACCACGTTACAGGACAATGGCACAGTGACAGTGGTGGGAGGCTGCTTTGACAAGATGTATGAGACTTGGTTCAGCCAATTGGGAGATTATGGAAAAGTGTTTTCCCACTGTGGAGAGAGAGCGTGTGTGCAAAAGGAGACAGACCCTCCTTTCTTTTTGGCACATCTCTCTGCCTGGCCTTTGTCAGATGCACTGATAAACTCAGCTTTTCATAAAGTCTTCTGTCATCACCAGTGGTTTAATTATATCACCAATCCGCGCATTGCAAGGAGGACAAAGCAATTTTTCTTCCTGTTTTTCGTAACAACACACTGGCCAAAATCACTAGCACAGGCCAGGGTTGGTATCATCCCTCTGTCAGCCTCCAGACACAAACTGGCAACATAATTGGTGTCTTCCACCACCGCTACTACATGGTGGAATAGAAACCACCGTTTCCTCGGCCACAACGACATGCTGGCTGTAGGGCTGCAAAGACCCATAGACCCCTCACTTTTGGAATGGCCAAGAACTGAAACACTTCTGTGGGAGAAGTGCAAAGTCCAGATGCCCAGCTACCATGATGCAATGCCTCCTACAGTGGTATGAGAAGACAGGGCTTTTTTCTCTCTTTCTGTTGATGATTTTTACTTATTTTTCAATTAGTATTTTCCTTTGTTTTTGGCTGTTTTTCTTGTTTTATCTTTATTTAATTGTTTGTTTGTGGTTGTCTCTCTGTGTGTCTTTCTTTCTTTCTGTGGCTGTGGTGACTGTCTTCTTACCTGCACCAATCATTTCTTGCCAGTTCCTCCAACCCCCTCCACCCTGGCTCTGGTGGCTGTCGGCCAAGAAACAGCCCTGTGATTCTCTAAGCTGTCTCTCTTTGTTTGCTGGCTCAAAAAGACCCATTTTGGTGAATCACTCTTCTATTCTCCTCTTTGTTGTTTTACTGATTGTTTTGTTGTTTTGTACGTGTTTTCCCTCCTGTTTCCTCTCCTCCCTATGATTCCAACCTCTCCTATTGAAACTGCTGCCCCACCTTTTTGTTGACTGTTATAACCTGTGCCTGAAGTGCCTCGCCTGCCTTTTTCTTCCTAACTGTGTATGAGCTGGGGGTTGCAGTCCCCTGGTGTGTGACAGGAGGGTTGGTTCCTCTTGGCCATCATGGCAGTGTGCTGGGTTCAATCCCCAGTGCACCTCACCATTCTGCATGCTGGGTTTAACCCTAACTTTTCAACAGGATTTATTCCGAAGGAAAGGGTTTTAACCCTAACCCATTTGGGTTGGACTCTTCCTCTCAGTTAATGCTTGTGATGTCATGGTGCCACAATTCTGTGTGGGAGTGGGTTTTGTCAGGAACAGGGCAGGACAGGACAAGGCAGACAAGGAACTGAGAGGAGTGATGATTGTATTGGAAACAATAATTCACTTGAGGGATGGGACAGGTCCCCCATCCCCCTTTTATACCTTTTGAGAGTCTTCCTTGTCAAGTCTCAAAGAAAGTTCCAGAAAGAGCAATTCGTAATACAATGATACCAATGATACCAATGACAACAAGACAAGTCAGGAAAGCAAAGAAGGTTCCAGAAGGTTCCAGAAGGTTCCATGAAGGAATGTTCTAGAAGGTTCCAGAGGTTTCCAGAGGGTGATTCATAACAGGTTTTAACCTTCCTTGCTTCTAAGAAAGGGGATTCCTCTGTCTCGGTGAGGCAGATGTCTGTGTTCCAGTAGGATGGAGTAAGAAGAGTCCCACTATCTCCCACCCTGGCCCTCCCCTTGGATTGAGTTGGAACCAATCTTGGGAGTGAGACAAGATGTGTCTGGTTCTGTTAAGCGGAAAGCAGTTCTGGTTTAATCCAACAGGCACCTCTGCACACAAACTGTTCCTTGTGTTTGCCCTTTGTGTCCAACCCCCTCGAACTTAGGGCTTGTCTTTGGCAGTGAGAGGGAGATGGTGCTCCAAGGTGGTGGCTCCAACAGGTTGGGACCTAGCCACTTGGCTGCTCTTTTGAAGAGTTTATTTCTGTTTGATGATGGGCTTTAGTAGACTCCAAATACATTCTCCTGTCATGCTTTTCATTGGATAGGATTAGGTCATTGCTCTATTTCCACCTTCAGCCCAGGGTGAGGAGATTCGGAGAGCATGTCAGCAGGTTGCCGCCTTCTTAGCTCACCTTGGCAGAACGTAGGATACTGCTGTGATAAGGTCGTCGGTGTGATTCCTGCAGAAGACACTATGATTGCGCTGGTCAACCTGCCACCCACAACTTCATGCACTACTATGGCAATGACTGCAACAGAGGAGTCAAGGAAGCTGGTTTTGCGACACTCGGTCCTCGATAACCCAGGAACTGCTTTCCTTCTTCGACAACGGCAGGACTCGAATCTGCGGACAGAAATTGTAACAGATTACTAGTCTGTCACCTTGACCACTCAGCCACATTGTCTGTCCCACATATCATTTGGGCCACTTTCAGTTGGTACTTACAAGCGCCACTTGCATACAGCTCCAAACCTGGATGTGCAGCAGCAGCCTGATATTGCACTGAACCACAGACAACTTCAGTCTCTGGCTTTGGCTTGCCAATGGCCCAACACAAAATTTGAATCATTCCAAAAGGTGATTCACCTGGTTTGTTTTCATGAAAAGAAATGGCGCCAATTTGGAAAGCACCAGCTTGCCTGAGTGTGTTTGTGCTTTTTGTCAGTTTGGGAATTTTAAGTGGCAGAGGAGAAAGGGGTGTCCAAAAAGTTGAGCTCATAGAGAGCGTCCCTGTCAGGGTTAAGGAGGATTTCTGTTGCTGCATCACTGCTGCTTTGTCATTGCATTTGCGACAACATCCTGCAAGATTTCCACCACACGTAGTGCTGCTTCCCCACACCCAGCCGTCAAGCCCCACATTTTGTCTCGACCTGTTCTCAACAGGGATTGTCCTGAGCGCCACAGGAAGAGTAGAGTAGGAGATTCTCACACCCATGCCAGAGAGTACATGCAACAGGTCCAGATGAGCCTGATTCAGAGGTGGCTTTACATTTCGTGCTTCTAGAGCAGGCGCCTGAGTAAGGATCCATGGGGCGTGCCTGGTGACATAATGCAGAGGCGGGGAGGTTGTGTCATTGACAGGGTCTGAAAATTTGCGCCAACAATCATTTTTCCTTCTTCTTCATTCATGTTGACTGGCTTGTGTGATGGAGCATTCAATTTCTAACAAAATCAGATCCTAGTAAAAAGCACAGGAACAATTTGAAGTGATTTAGCAGAAAAGCAGCCAAGTGAAAGCCAAGCCAGTCCAGGAGTCTGGGCCAGGAAGTGGAACCTCTGTTCAGCAAGTGAAATCCAGCTGATGGCTCCCAGTCGGGAAATCGAACCCTGATCGCTGCCGTGAAAGGGCGGAATCTTGACCATTAGTCGATCTGGGAATGGCAAAAGCTAACAAAACTTGCATGGTGATTGCGTGGCATGAGGAGAATCCTCCAGCCATGTTCCACTAAAACAAGTGAGGAAATGGCAGGCACACAAAAACACATAAAGTGCACCCACTGGTGCGATGGCTCTGGTGGCTTAGTTGGTTAAAGCGTCGGTCTCATACATGACACACCTGATTGCACAGGTGCTCCTCTACACAGTCATCCGAAGGTCGTGAGTTCGACTCTCACCCAGAGCACCCCATTCCCTTCCACTGGCTGGTTGGAGCACTTTCTCCTTCAAAGGAGAAATGGCAATTCTGAACAGACATATGGCGGGAAGATTGTTCTCCCCCGGGTCTACCCCGTGACAGGGGGTGATACTAGCCACTATACTAACTGGGAAGGCTATGTTGTGGGCACAAATACTTACAATGAGGTCTCTAGAGTTCCTAACAGTTGAAGATACTGATGCCAATGCTCCACTTTAAGGCATGTTGAAACTCACTTCCTGATTGGGTGGTTTGACTTTTCATGTGCAGTCTTTTTACATGACAATTCCTAGCTGTTGAGGGGGTTTTTCCACCTGACAAAAGATTTGTTGTCCTGCCACTTGTGATTCCTTGTCCGTGCAACATTTGGAGGCTCTTGCAGGTGTGTGTGTGTGTGTGTGTGTGTTTGTGTGGAACGACAGCATGCAAATTCCTCAGCACAAACTGACTTCTTATGGAAACTGTGTGTCCTGCTGTGCCTGTTCCAGGAAATTTGCCCAGCAATTCTGTATGAAGTTTGAAACTGTGCATCAGCCACACTCCTTTCACTTTCATTGAAAAGGCAGTTTTCCATAGCAATTTTTGTGCAGAACATTTTGAAGGCATTTCTCATCTTCCCCTCTCCCCCTGCCCCCCATTTTGCCAAGAGGTGCAGTTCTGGCACTCGGCCTCTTTATCTGCGTGATGGTTACGAATAGGACGCACCAGCTCCTGCCAAGCGAGACACAGGCTTCACAGCAAGTTTTGTTGTTAGTACCAGGGGATCCCTGCACCGCTATTGGGGGTATATATCAGTGGTAGATAGCTCGCTTCGCATGCGAGATGCCCAGGGTTCAATCCCCTGTGCCTCCACAGTATTGTTGGAATGTATGTCACTGCCACTCTGGCTGACCAATCTGACAAGAGGAGCTGTTGAGCGATGCACTCACAAAGCCTGTCTTCCAAACAGTCTCCCTGACTGGAAGATGCACATCCAAGAAAACTGCTAAGAATTTCTAAAAGGAGTGACAAGGGCCACTTGGCTGCAGCCACACCAAAATAACCAGCAAGCACAAACAAAAACCCACTTGCACACCAAGAACAGCAGCATCTGCACAAAAAAGCAGCAGATAAAGTGCAGGACATCGAAATCAAGCAAATTAAATTTGGATTTTCTCGTTTGCCCATAATATCTTTTTTCCTGCTAAGGCAACCCCCCCAATTTCCCAAGTCCATTCGCTTCTCCTGCAAATCAGTATGAGATTCTTGGGAATCTCACACAAGGTGTCAGTCATAGTTTAGGTTCTTCAGCTCTTACTCTACGCTGATTCAGTACAGCACATTTTATAGTTTTACATGAAAATATGACCCCATCAGAAAGAGGAATCGATTCCGGTTGTTTTTCTCATTTTTCATAATTTTTTTCCACTATGTCCTAGTTCTTAGTGCAATTAGAAACATCATCTTTGTGATAATGAAATAGAGCTTTCTGGCTCCTTGATTAAAAACAGGTCTATGCAGCCTGGGAGCCCCTCTTGATAATAGGTGTACATAATCATGTAAATGCTTCTTATCACTTATCTTTTCTTCCTTGTCAGTCATTTTCATTCTTCTTTTCTTTCGATAAATAGCTGCCCTTGGAGAAGCAGCCTCATTAATCTCAACTATCTTTACAAATGTAACCTCAACCTTCAATGAATGCCATCTCTAAGAATTTAGATTTGTATTAGTACTCTGATTTTTGTTTTATTCCCTTCTTTGTAAGGAAGCCTGTGTGGGCCTCTCCAATGTCGCCGTCGCAGGCTTGATACTGAGTCACAGGAGTTGTTTCTTGTAGTGAGGAGGGTTCAGGGAGAACCTCTGACTGTCTGCGAGATGTGTGTTGACTGAGAACACGTCATCCTGCAACACAAACGTAGATAGAACACCGCTGTCATTGACGATGATGGGTTTAGCCTTTGATGCTGTGCAGATGACTCAATCAATTCAATCCTTTGCTCAGGATGATGCCATGATTGCCTCTCTCATAGGCAAGTACCTGTAGCAATGGTGCCAGGCAGAGCAGTGTCCCACTTCTCCACCTGCAGGCTGCAGCCTGCTTTCCCTCAAGCACTTGCAGACAGCAACCTGGCACTGCAGCAGGTGTCAGGAGGGAGGTTTGCAGCGCACAGCTACAAACTCAAAGGAATAGGTGCCACTGACATGTCAGGCCTTCAGCTCAGTCTGCTTCTTTACCTTCATGTGTTTGTGGGTGGTCCTTCTCCCCAACTTGGAGAGAAAGAGAAAAACCTCTGTTATGAATAATTGATACATAATGATGATATGCACGCTGTTATAGTTGCTAGGCAAGTGTGACCAGCACAGGTTAAAAACCTCTCCTTATCTGCTTTGAGCAGAGGAGGAGGAAAACTGTTAACACTGGTTTCCGTTCCACTTAATACTCGAAGTATTTGTCAACTGCACAAGCCAGCGCCCAGGTCTGCATTGGCAGTGGCTCGCTCTCCCATGGGCATTGTGAGAACAATAACTGACAGTCACAATAGGTTCGGGTCTGTCTTGTGCCTCTTGCTGCTAACCAGTCAGTTCTGCCTAACACTCAGAGCAGAACTGCAGAGCTGCTGACTGTCCTGGCAAAGTTCATCACCTATTGAAACATTGCTAGGCAAGTGTCTCTTAGAACGCAGACAGCACCGGAGGGCCAGAGTGCATAGCAAACGCTGGCACCGCCTTAGAAGCCTCACTCAGCTTTTCCCAACCGCTGGCCAAGATGGGTGTGCAGCCCAAAGGCAAAAGGTGTTTTGTTTGGCAAGACTATTAGCTTAAAATAGGGTAGATGGCCGAGCGGTCCAAGGCGCTACGATCAGGTCGTAGTCTCGAGAGGGGCGTGGGTTCGAATCCCACTCTGCTCATTCCTCTTTCTGTTAATGCGATATCCTGAAAACCTTGGTGAGTGACCCACTTGCAAAGTTGAAATCAACACTCCTGTCAGTGACTGGACAGCTGACAGACCTGCCAATACAAAGATATCACTAGTTTGTCACCTTTTTGTTATTTCTGGCAATTTTTCAGCCGACAGTCTCTGAACCTGTCTCACTCACCAAAATTTTCAGGATGTCTCTGTAAATAATTTTGCCCTCATGTCTCTGTTGGGTGTCACCATTGGTGTCAAGCCACTTCAGATCAAAAAGTCTGCGCAATTGGAGCCACACAGTCCCATTTTCTCAAGGGATCACCTGCCCATCAATCCCTCCCCCACCTCCCAATTGCGCTGCAGACACTTAATCCACTGTGCTTTGCCTTCATTTGAAGGCTTTTGTAAGTTTATTACTTATGGTGCCACTGTGTTGTCTGTCACACCCTGGAGCCTGATGTAGAACCAGTGGGCTTGTTTGTCTGTCATGTCCACAAACGCAGCACTGCAGACATTTGCGGTTTCACACCACATTTCTCGCTGAGCTCAAACTGTACCATTTTGCCTCAAGGTTTCTGGCCTTCCACAACCAGCTGCAATCTTTGAATCCAAAATTGTCTGCTGGACCAGCCCTTTCCCAGTCGCCAGGGACTGTTCCAGCGTGAGATCTTTGGTCGAATCCAGCTATAGAGTCGACCAGAGGGGAACTACAGCATAGATCCAACTATCGAAATTGTAAACATTCTACTCTGAGTGAGTGAGTGGAAGGAGTGAATGAAGTGGAGATGTGTGTTTGTGGGTGGTCCTTCTCCCCAACTTGGAGAGAAAAAGAAAAACTCTGTTATGAATTATTGATACATGATGATGATATACACGCTGTAATAGTTGCTAGGCAAGTGTGACCGGCACAGGGTAAAAACTTCTCCTATATTATCTGCTTGAGCAGAGGAGGAGGAAAACTGTTGACACCAGGTTTCCCTTCCACTTAATACTCAGAGTATTTGTCAACAACGCAATCCAGCGCCAAGGTCTGCATTGGCGGTGGCTTGCTCTCCCATGGGCATCGTGAGAACAATAACTGACAGTCACAATAGGTTTGGGTCCGTCTTGTGCCTCTTGCTGCTAACCATTCAGTTCTGCCTAACAGTAATCACAGGGTTTGTCATGGCAGAGGCTAGCTGTGAATCCAGTAATGAATATAGCCGTCATCCAAAAAACCACATATTGTTGGCAGACAGCAATGGCGCTGGTGCTGAGGTACAGCAATTTGGTCAGAGGGATACTGGGCCTGTTGGGGATGCAGGCTTGCCACTTTGGACACCGGGGAACATCCCAGGACCCAATGCATTAGGTGATGGAATGGCCGTATTAGGTACCCCAGGATAGGCGGTCAAGTGATGTGGGAGCAAGTCCTACGTCTGTGGGAAACACCCAAAAAAAAAAAAAAAAAAAAAAAGAAAAGAGAAAATCCACCACACTTGTCAGTCCTAGCACAAACAACAAAGGTGTGGTCAAACACCAACACATAGCGGATATCTCCTTCTGAATGTGGGTAAGGTAGAGATGGATAAGGGTTATTAACCGACATGCAGGCATTTGGTAGATATAAGCAGACTCAGATATCAAATTTGACTGCGTATATCCGCTTGCATCCAAAGAAAAACCTGCTGATATCTGCTGTATCTGCTGGTGTTCAAGCTTTTGGAGCAGAATGTGCAGATAGGCAATTGCACCAATACTCTGCCGCAGAAAGGGGGGCATAGTGACGTGGACTTGTTTAGGAGTCGTGCTGGTGCATGATTAGTGAAAGGTTGTCAACTGCATCACTGCTGTCAGGAACAGGGCACGACAGG